CATTGTTCATTACCAGCCTGAGTATTTTTTTTAAAATCTGATCTCCATTTGTAGTTTTATTGTTAATGAACAAGTATTGTGATTGCAATGAAGCAGTTCATAACGGTAAATCATTACACCAGGCACTCTCGCACTGTAGCTCTCCTACTCCCTGTATCTCTTCCCTACTGTATACAGTACAGATTTATTAGTTTGAGCCAGGGCCCCCGGACAGTCACCACTCAGCACTCCCTCAGATCAATAATTGGAAATATTAATTATATCAGCAAAGATGGCCCAGTCAGAAGGGGGCTGTTTATGTTCCTGTTACTGAGCAGTGCAGCAATATGAGCTTTGATGGCCCACTAATACGTATTAATGATCTTGGGACAAACATTACTCTATATTAAACCTGAGTGAAAGCCAGAAGACACCGTACATAGTAAATGGCCATTAGAGTTATTTTATTGCAAGCGCTGTAAGTAAGTGCTGTTGCATAACTGTTGTAAAAAGACTTTTACTACTGTGAGATGAGCTTCTACAAAACCAGGACAAGATTTACTGCAGTTTTATTTCTGTTTACTGCGTTCCTGTGTATTGGAGGTTCATATTATTTGGATAATATGTTAAAGAAGGTTGAGGCTTGGAATTGCACCAGGCCCTTGAAAGCTTCTCCAAAGCACTGTTATTGTCTCACCACTGGCTCTCTCCAGAGTTTAAGCAATGTGGATTGTGAGACTCGGTATTGCTTCATCCCACTAAACTCTACTAGTCATGCACTCATTAGTGTCATAGATAGTGCTAACAGTGAAGTCTAAATCATCCCCACTATTAACAGGCCAAGTCCTCACTACACTTCCTTAACTAGTTTGGTGTTATTTGAGATCAGACAGTAGAATGTCCTTTGCAGTCGCAGTCCATGGCCTTTGGTTCTTTTTGTGGCTAATAAGACGTTTGCCACCCAATCAGGACAAACTTTACCAGAGTACTGTAAACACTCTGTGATAAAGTCAGAGATCTGTGTATGTGTATATTCATGTATTGCTGGAATGTAACTTCTACTGATTGTTGGTTCTTTATATTGTGTATATATATGTATATATACTGTATATATAGTTGGAGCCTGAGGGTCCTGCTCAGTATCTTAGATGTTCCTAGTAATATACTCTTCTTGACAGAGATCTCGTATATTGTTTCTGGAATCTGCTGGAGTCCCTCTCCTAGTTTGTGGGGGTTACAGCCCTGAGTGCTCCGATTACCACTGGTACCACTGTTGCCTTACTTTCCACATCTTCTCTAGCTCTTCTTACAGCCCTCTGTATTTTTGGAGCTACTCATGTTCATTCTTCTTGATGTTGCTGTCACTCTCACTAGGGATTGCTACATCTATCAAAACTGCTTTCTTCTCCTGTTTGTTGACCACCATGATTAGTAAGTCATCACCAGTTTATCAGTCTGAATCTAGAAGTCCCACAGGTTCATTCTCAACCATCTTTGGTGGTTTCCTCCATTTTGACCTTGGGTCCTTCAGCCCATCCATAGTGCAACTGTTTCTGTACACTATGTCAGCCACTTTTTTATGGCCTTCTATGCACACATACCTGCCTGCGTCTTACACCCTGCTGTTATGTGCTTGAATGCCTCAGGGGCATCTTTGCACAGTCTGCACCCTGGGTCCTGTCTGGTGTGGCAGACCCTGGCCTCCATCGATCTTGTGCTCTGTGCCTGATCTTCAGTTGCCATGATTACTTTTTATACAAAACAGAAATGAATAAATGATCAAAAAACAACAAACTACACTTTGTTGACATCGAGCTTAAATATTTCACAACAACAAATTATTTCTTGTTTATTTAATATCACATTTGGATTTGAAAAACATTCATAATTTTATTACATTAACACATGGAATTATAATGTCAAACCAGTCAAATAAAAGTCTCTGTCAATTCCAGTAAAAAAAAGAATATATTTGCCCAATTTATAATTAACAACCCACAAATGCATACATTTTCTCTGCAGTGTGATAAGGAGGTAGGTGTGTTGGTAAAGAGCATCTGTACTGTATCTCTCTTACCACTCTCTCCATCTCTCCTTGTCGGTTTCCACAATATCTCTCTCTTTCCTCTCAGCTTCCCAAATGCCTTACCTCACTACTCCCTTAACTAAAACGTATTGAAGCAGCAGTGGCTGTTTAACTCGGCTCCATATGGGTGTGACGAGGAGCTACTAGCCCCCGCCGAGTAGAAAAAATAACCCCCCTACAGTATCTGAAGTTAATGAATGGCCTCCATGGTAACAGCAGCGCTTAATACATTTTACTTAAAGTCATCATGTCTGTGCTTGTGTGAGCATGCATATAATAAAAGTGTGCTTTGCATCGAGCACTTAATTTCTGCTGGAATCCCAAGATTCTCTTCATGTGTTCAAGCGAAATGAAACAAACTGAGAGCCATCACTCGTGACTGTTCAGGACCATAATGCATTGCTTTTAGGCAAATAAATAGACCATTAAGCTGGCATGTTGGAGGCTGAACAGTAACTAGCTTTAGAGAGAGCTGCCTCCCACACACAGGCACCCTGGAGAGACTGCTGAGATCATAACATGCTAGAGGAGACTCAGCCGTAGATTTGGCCTCCTCCGACGAGCATTTGAAGAAAAATCAACTGGCAGGATGGAAGCGTCTTTTGTCCATTTGACATGTCAAAGGCAAATTCAAAGATGTCCTGTGTTGCAGTGAAGGAACAGAGCATGGCAAAGTTATCCATGAATTTGTCTTGCGGTTGTTTTTTCCCGCTTCATTTGGATGTGTTTCTGTCGCTTTGAATACATGTGCAAAAACGTCGCGGTTGATTCTGTAATCTATCTGCACACACCGTGGAGCAGTGCGCCCTGTGGCTTGGCATTAGCATACTGTAGAGTTACTTTGCTCGTGTTGTACAAGGAAGAGAAAGCACTTGTAGATGGGGAGGGAACAGGATGGGGAGTGAGCCAAGAAACAAGTAGCTAAAACCTCAACCTTCACGAGCATAATATCCTCCCTGTTTTCCTACAAAGACTTAGCTGGTGCTAGTTATTATTTACGATGGGTAAATTTATGGAATAATTTCAGTGAAGGAAGGTTACTGAGTTCCTCAAGGTGAAAATGGATACGTTCAGCACTTAATGAATTGGGCCTGGGCCTCTCCCCCATATATCAGCATGTTATTAAGACATTTTAAAATCCCATTATGGTGTTTCTCCTTGAACATGTCATGCTTTTATTGGACTGCCCTGTCTTTAAATGTGACCTTTTCAGCACTGCTCTGAAATTGAACTGAAAAATAGATACATGACAGGACGATGGAACCAAATATACATGTGAATGTGCAAAAATATCAGTGCTGAATGGTTTTCAGTGGTTTGACTGGAATGCCTGATAATGGCAAATGGTTTCAAGCTATAAAAATATGCTTAAATAGCAGCTGTAAATGGTTTACTGTAAATGGCAGCACATGGTAAGAGGTTGCTTTTATGTTTCAGTAATCTTGTTATACGTTGGTGCTACTTTTGGCCCTAGTGTTATTAAAATGTGTGTTTTTATTATTAAATCTATTTGTTTTGGGTCGAACAAAAGGGGAAGAGTCACTGGCAAAGCTCTGTGAAAATGAATCATCTTGTAAGCTTTTAGCTCTGCCGTAGCACATGTATGCAGATTAAAAGCATATGTGGGTGGGCATATACTTAGTATGTGTGCTTACATGTGACTAATGCTGCTGCAGATGTAAAGCCCATACTGTAAATCACAGCCACATCTCTCAAACTTTTCCTCTGAAGAAATCCGGACCCGAGTCTGGTAAATTTGTTCAGCTTGAACAACAATAATGAAAAAAAGAAGGAGGTAAAATTGGGGAAGGAGGAGAGCGTGACACAAAAAATATGATGACAGCGGCTTCTAATCCAGGCAATGCCATTCTTATCAGGGTCCAGTGGATTAGGGAGAGGCTCCTAACCAGAGAATCCTTCCCAGCCAGACTCTCTCCACAGCCCAAGGGCCTCGATCAATAGGCCCGCATTGATCTCCTCCTCCTGTGGCTGGATTCACTTTTATTAGGAGTACCCCAGCGTTTCTCACTTAGACACAAATATATGCAGCCCTTCAACCCTTCCATGCACCTGCCATGAAAAACTACAAACACAAACATGGTGTCAAACCAGATACACATGTTGTCATGAGTCACTTTTGGAGACACTGCATTTATTTCATGGAGACGTCGAGGGTTCAAGCTATGATGCCGACACATGCTAACGTTAGCTGTGGCTGCTATGTTTCCTCAGGTTAAACATGTTGCATCACATATATTGCAACAAGAGATGTTTGTGTGGAATTTTGAAAAGTTCAACTACGGTTGATCACTTACTGTTCACTTTATAGTCATTTTAGTCTCTTCTTCAGCGTTCAGGTAATTTACCACCAGCCACTGATATTGAGTCTGGACTCCAATTAGTTTCTCTCTCTCTCTTTCTGCTCCTGTTACTGTCTCATCAATATATGCTCTCTCAGGTTCCGAAATTTTGCAAAGTTTGATTAAGCGTGAATCTCAACTTGGTTTTACTGATGTTTTTTTTCTAGGGACCCTTAAAACATCAATATCCAACCATAACCGCAACTTGCTTCAACCTAACTTAAACGAAACTTTTAAACACAAAACTTTTATCCCAAATTGGACAAACCATTACCAATTAACAAAAGTAGCCTATGACTGAATCATACACACATCCCATTTTATGTGTGAATGAGAGCAGAGGTTGTTTTGTTTACACTGAATAACAGGCAGCAGAAACACTATAGTGTCAAGTCAACTTAGCAGGATGATAGTGTTTTGGTTTTCTCTCCAGCCAAGGCACTTTGATCAGTATCTCAGAGCAGCCATTAGTATGTAAGAGAGGGACTTGACACCTCTGGTTTGTGGCCTCTTGTTGTAACAGCCCGAGTCGCCAGCGCTAACTTCTCTGTTGCCCTTTCTTCTCTCTCCTCCAGATGACTCGGCCCATCCAGGTGAAACCGGCTGACAGCGAGAGCCGTGGAGGTAGTTGTCTTCTTTTCTTCATCATTTATTCATGTCCCCTTTTCATCTGTCTTATCTAGGCTAATTCTTTTTATTCTCTCCCTCTGATCTCATCTATTCCACTGCGCTCAATGCCGCATTTCTCACTCTACCTTTCTTTTTTTAAATCTTTCTCTCAATTCCTTTTCATTCTCATGTTGCTGCACAGACACAATTGTCAGAAGTTGAACAAAGTTTAACTAATAGTTTGAACCAAACTGATTTGGAATATGCAGTATATTGAAGATATTATATGACATCTAACAGAGAGGATTTGATGTTGGACTACTTGTCCCCCAGCTTGTAGAAGTTCTTAACAATTTTTCATGAAAATGTCTGTAATCTCCTCATTTACTTTAAAGTGAAGACATTATATTCAGCTTTTCCTGTATTTGTTCGAGTGGAATTCTAAAGTGCTCTTATTTATTTTGCACTTGTGCCCTTGTACATGGTTGTAATTAATGAAAGCGTCTGTTATTGAAAGGATGTAGGGCTCTGATGGGCTCTACTGTCGCCACACTCTCGTCTTCTATGCCAAGTACATTATCATTGCACTGTAAATTAGATGGTGTATAGGCTCAATACTGGAGCCATCGCCACGCAAAGGCCCTGTTAAAGCCCTCGCTGCTTGATCTGTTTGTGTTTGAAACACAAGAGTAAATAGTATAGAGAGGGAAAATGGAGCAGGGGCACGCTCAGCTTGCCAAACAATCAATACATTTGCAGGGTTCTTGCCAAGATCCTCATTACTTGGCCTTAATTCTGTTGTGTTTGATCTCAAACGTTTTTGGAGGCTTTCATTGACTCACTGCCATATCTGCATATATGTTAATGAGACAAGGAGGTATCCTTCAAGTCGATGGCAATGAATCTCACTGTTAATTTTTTTTTTGGGGGGGGGTGTTCATCTCATGTGTCAGCCCATGACAATGAAAGTGCATTTTTGTAATTTTAAGGAGGATGCTTTGTCTCATCCTGGTGGAGGAAAAGAGAGTTGGGGGGTGGGGGGGGGGATTTGGAAGTGAAAATCAGTCAGGGAGAGAAAACACACAATCAATGCCAACTGCATGCAGCTGCTGCGCTGCACTTCTGAGGCTTTACCTAAAAACCTCTGCCTGTTTTGGTTGAATTAGGATGACTGGCCTCTTGGCTGCCTGTCAAATGCACACAGTCTTCAAAGGACAGCATAACCCCCTGAGATGGATGGAGGAAAGGCCAATAAAGATCACTGTCACTCGCCTATGCTTTTCTGTTTCTTTCTTTCTTTCTCTCTTTCTTTCTCTCTCTCTCATTCTTTCTCTCCTTCTCTCAGACATTCATTCACAACTATAGTGGAGTGGTGAGACAAGCTCAGGGGTCTTGTGTTGTCAAGATTGATGTCCTCTATAGCTCCATTGATTTTGCCATTGTGGTGCTGTGTGTCCACATTAACAATGACACCCAGCTGTCTCTTTCCTTGCTTGTGAGTGGCCTGTTTTAGAGCTCCCACGGCACTTGGTCAGTATGGGGTCCTCTTATTGGCCGGCCGTGGGGACCCCACAGAGGAACAAATGAGTGCTAGAACAGAGCTGAGAGTTGCACATCATCTTAAATGAACAGGTCAGAGTGGCGCCATAGGGGCAATCAAACACTAGCATGACTTTAACAGGTTAGGAAGTGGGTAGGGGCAGACAGGAGGTGTGTGATGGTATCCTTTTAGATCTACTATTCTCATCCTGCTGCTAATCTGCTGGTTTTAATTATTCCTGTGATAATCACTGGCAAAGATCATTTTGCTTTTCTCAATATCTGTTTCCTTCTTTAGCTGCTGTTTCTTCTGTAGCTGATAGATTGTGCTGCTGATGCTGATCCATGGTCTATTTTTACAAGCTTTGCTTCTTATTTGCTGTAAAAGACTGAAGAGGATTTTATTGTACCGTCTGAAATCCAGAGTCTTGTAATTATTACTCCTCTTATTTCACGTTGTCAATACTGGCAAGATTACATTTTTGTTATTTTATTCATATGTACCCGCTGTTGCCAGAATCCAGATCAATATTTTCAGAACTATAACTCAGCCTGCCATAAAAGGAGCTGGAAGAGCGAATGCAAAAATATTAATTACCCTCTTGGAGGGAGAGACACCCGGGACACACCTATTCTGGCCCGCTCTCTTAAGGCCTCTTCTCGTCCAATAGGGGGCATATATTCCTCAGTGAACACAGGCGCTCTACAGCACACAGTCATACTAATTAGTCCCTCAATCTCATTATGTGTAGGACAGTTCAGATCACCTGCGCCAGGTTCGTCTTCCATGAGGGAAAGACCTGTTACTGTGCCTGCTGGACCTCTGCTCCTCCAGGAGAAAGTCTCTACTGTTATTAAGACCAGACAGGCTCAGACCACACCACGTCTTCCTCTGGTTTCAACATGAATCTGCCTGCCTACAGACAGTCGAACATACTCCTCTGACTACTTCTGATCAATATTTGAAGACTTGGATATTTAATCAAAACTGAGCCATTTCCCAATAAAGATCTCCATAACTTTACTGTGTTGGACACTAAGTACAAACTGGTAATAATTACAGTATGTGATGGCGTAGCCACACTGATGTAGTGTATAAGTAAACCACCTTGCACATAGAAATTAAAGGGAAATAAATGGAAGAGTAAATCCATCCAAACACTCCATCAACCCCTGCTGCCACCTAACAAAGACACACTGTGAAATGAATATTAATGGCCAATCACCTACCTAATCTAGCAGAACAGCAGCCGTTACACATTGAGCCACCAGCACCGTGAACGTCTCCGTCACTGATGACGCACACCTTTCTGGGGTGCCTCTGTTGGGGGAGACGTGGCGCAGAGTGGAGGCAGCAGGGACCTGTCTCTCTGACAGCACATGACAGGTCTCTGATATGAAATGGATTGATTTTTCATCACACGTGGCACTGATGACTGGCACTGACTGCTGCTGATATTTCATTTTTGAAGGGCTATTCAGGGCCTCCTTAGAAGGCGTGGCATCCGTACACAGGATAAATCACATCCAAAAGCTCTTACCAGCGACGCTAGCCACAGCTTTCTACCTCTTACCACTTGCAACAATTTTATTATTGTTCTCTTCTCAGTCAACTTTGTTTGGGTCATCTGAGAATAGTTTTTTTCTGGTGCCACATTTTTGTTTTCCTTGGTCTCTGGTAAAGTTTTGAGCTCAGACATTTGTCCAGAGGGCGGAGCAAGGGGCAGGCTCGCTGTCTGCTGGGAGTCTTGGTGTTACAGCAGGTCTGCCTGGCACAGCTAGAGCTACAGCCCACTGAGGAGGCCTGGATTAGAAATAGGCTCTGCCATTATAAAGGCCGGCCTGCCGCCCACACACCCACACAGTGAGGACAACCAGGCAAACACATACATACCATACAGACTCCATATAATAGGAACACATGTGCACACACAGAGCTTTGTCCAATTTACATATTTACACACACACACTCTCTCGCTCGCTCACTCTCTCTGTCACACACAGGCATCGTGGAAAGTTGGATGTACATTATAATAGGAACACATGTGCACACACACAGCTTTGTCCAGGTTGCATATTTGCACACAGACACACATGCAAAGTGTACACAGGATACAGGATCCACAATCCTCTATAACGATCCACGATCAGCTGCCACCACGATCACAAAGGTTTGCTCCGGTTCGTCTTTTGCTCCAGTTCACTGAGATGTGACGGAACAAAGCATGAGAGAGGGAGAAGGAGAGAGAGAGATTGAGAGAGAGAGACGTAGTTAAATGGAGAGTGAGGGTGGAAAAAAAAAAAAGAGAGAGATTGGGAATCTAGATTGAGAGAGCAGGGCTACATGCTCTGTTGCTGTTCTGCGCGCAGCTTTTGATGATGAATTTATCTGGCGTAAAAGACAACAGAGTAGTCTATGTATTAAACATCAGTGGTGTTCTCCTTTTCTTACCAGAGAGTCGAGCTCCCGTGTCAGAGCAGCTCAGTAATGAAGCAAGCAGGAAGACCTCTAAGCTCCACTGATCCCCTTTAGAAAAGAGAGGAGGCCTGTAGGAGAGAGGGGTAGTTAGAGGGAGAGGAATGAGGGGAGGAAAGATGGATGGCGAGAGTGGAGAGGTGAAAGAAGGGAATTTGTTCAGAGACACTAAAAGCAGGGGAGAGAGAGAACAAAATAAACAGAGGAAAGTGTGGACAAACCAGACAGAGGGAGGGGCGGCAGGGGCCAAAGCAAAAAGCTGAACAGTACATCTTCTCCCTTCGGAGGGAAGAAAACTATAGATTACTGGCCACAATGTGCTTGGCTGGGCATAAATGGAGAGATCTTGAAATAGTAAGTAGCGTGTTCAGAGGTTGTGGGGATCACGGGGAGCTAATCCAATGTTGAGGCCAGGTGTGGGTCACACATTCAGAGCTCACACCCCCCCATCCAAATCCCCTCTGGTGCTCTTAAACAAACAATGTGGATACACAGGCCTTTGCTAGCCACGGGTTCAGTCAGCTAACTCCGCCAGGGCCGGCCCAGGATGTTTGGGTCACTCTGCCTCTAAGCTTTTAAAATTTACCCTCACATCAGCACAAACAGGTTTGTTTTAAGCGGGAGGGGATGGAGGGGTGAGTCTGGTTTATGGGAGACAGAGAAGAGGAGAGAAAGCAGGAGTGCAACAGACAAACAGAGGAAGAGCATAGAGATGATGAAATCATTTCTATAGGGATGCATTTTTGCTCCTTAGGGTCAGATTGTGCTGAGGCTGTAGCAGTTATGCAGAGTCAGTGGAAGAAGTATATCACAACAATTTACTAATACACTGGGTAGGTGGAGATCAATTAGCCTTATCTAACAAACTCCTGATGATAATACCAACGCAAAAGTTGCTGACGCGGCAAAGAACAATACGAGAAGGCAGAGTGATGATGTAATGGATTTAGCAAGTGGAAAAATGCAGGTTTGCAGAAATACTTATTTTCCTACAAAATAC